ATAAAAAAAACACTAAAATTCTTGGTTTAAAATCAAATTTGTTTTGGTACCCAAGTAATCTTGGTACCAAAAGGTTTAGGGACATGACCCCTATCATTTAAGCTCAAAGCCCTAGGGTTATGAACCCGTTTAGGCGCATATGGTGCACTAGCACGGTCAAAACAAAAATTATACTCATGACCTTTCCAATTGCAATAGGTGCATTGAAGAGGGTTAAATGATTTGTGTTGACCAAGTGGGCGTGCACGAGAATCATTTGCAAATAAAGATTTTTCTTTTAAATTATTTCGCAAATGAGAAACATCATTAAACAAAGATGGTTTCTTTAGAGCATTTTGCAAAATAGGAACTTTTTGCACATCAAAACAAAATTTAGCAAGATGTCCAAACCTACCACAAACATCACATTTAAAAACATGTGGTCTACTAGAAACATTTGGCAAATGAGATTTATTTTTTAAATCAAAACAATATTCGGCCAAATGACAAAAACGACCACAATGATCACACTTGAACACACTAGCATGCTTATGATGAACAATGGGTGCATTTGTGTGTACATGTGATGAAGAAGCTACATGAGATGCACAAGGAGCATTGACATTTTTATGTTTGTGTGCATCATAGCAAAATTTAGCAAGATGGCCTTTACGACTGCAAATAGAGCATTTGTAAACTTTGCTATATATGTGTGCATAGTGAGTGGATGATGACTTAGACTTGGCACATATATCCATAAGCCTCTTATGATTATTAATGCATGTTTTTAAAGTTGAATCTAAAAATGAAATGCATTTATTCATAAGATTCAAATCTTCATTTTTAGGCACATATGCATTTTTAGAAGTAGAACATAAATAGTTATTTATAAAAGAAGCAGTATCATTTTGTATGTTCTCTACTTCTAACATGGCATTATTTTTGTCATGAGTCAAGTTAGCAATATCCAATTTCAAATTTTTATTTTCCAAATTTAACATATCATTGTTTTCTTGAAGAGCAATACTTTCTTGAGAAATGATATCAAATTTGGAAGCTAACTTCTCATGATCGGATTTTAAATCTTCATGCTTGCTTTTTAAATCAATAAAATCATTTTGCAATTTATTAAAGGCATGCAATAATTTTTCACTAGCGCAAGCAAGTTCATCATTAGGTAAATCATTAATAGATTCGAACTCGCAAACCTCACTAGGGCTATCGCCTAGTGGCCGTGTGCATGAGGCTCCATATGAACTTGAAGCGGGATCCTCCAAAGCTTGTCGGATCGCCTCCAAGTCTCCTTGATGCGCTTCTATGAATTTCCATAATGTATAAGCGCTATCAAAAGAATCAAGCTTGTTAGACATAAATGAATCAAATGCATTTAATAAAAATTCTAACATAAGCTTGTTCATAATAAACATCTTTTTATCATGTTTGCTCCACTTGGATTTCTCCAACGTGGGCACAATATAAGCACAATCAATGATTTCCCATAAATCGATATTTTTAGATTGAACAAATAATTTGAATCAAAAACACCATTGAGCATAGGGGAAAACATTGAATTTAGGAGCAATACTAGAATCATAGCCTAAACAAGATGCATCATTCATATCCATAATTTGTAAAAATATACAAGCAAGATACAAATGCAATCAAAACAAGATTAGCACAAAAATATAACTTGGATCTTTAACTCAAGGCGATTAGACCTTAAATCAAAGAGCACCAAGCTCTGATACCAATTGTTAGACCCTAGAGGGGGGGTGATTAGGGTCTTATGCTAATCTAATCCGATTTAAATGCCAATTAAAATTAATTAACAAGTATATTCTTGCAAGATAGATATAAAAGAGTTATGTGCAAGAATAAGCAATATGAACAAAGGTAAATATCCTAGCAAAGAGATATACTATGAGATATATGCAAGGATATACAAAGGACCTTCCGTCCTACGTCTCCGCTCCCCACTCCCGGGGAAAAATCCACTATCACAACCGGGTTTTCTACGTTCACCCGAATAACGTTTACACCTCACACTCGGTTTTCTAGCTAACCGAAAACTTTACAATCGACACTCTTGCAATCACACTCTACACCCTCATAAGTGTTGGACCTAGCCGTGTCTCCCTCAAGTGCTCTGTTATAACCTCTCCCTAGGCTCGTCAACCGATGCTACTCTCTTGGAACGATCCCCGACTCTCACCACACACTCCTCTCGGTGTACAAGTGTATTACAAAGTGAATCTCACAATAAGGCTCGATACAAGAAATGATTGTTCTCAACTATGGATGAGAACACAATGAAAGCTCACACTCAATGTTACAACTCTCACCAACCCAACTATATTATGAATGCAAATATAATAAGCTCATGTGGGTGTGTGTAACAATGAGATTAAAATCAAATCTAAACCTAATATAAAAACTAGCTTTAAAGAAAGATAATCAAATAACTAAGCAAATGTAAAACTAGATAAGAGTTTAGAAAACTTCTCAATAGATCAAGAGGTGGAGGGAGAATAGTTGGAAGCTCAAACTTCAATAGATGATCTCCTCAAGCTCTTGTGGAATTTTCTTCACAAACAAACTCTTGAAACAAACTTAAAAACCCTTCAACAAACTTGTAAAACACTTTTTAAAACTCTCTTAAATATCCATAAGAAACAATGAAATTTAAGGGCTTTTTATAGCCTCTTAAACCCGCCATAAACCCCCAAAAATCGAAAATATCAAAAACTAGCCGTTACTAGCCGTTATAGGCTGAAAAGACCAAAATACCCCAAAATCCAGCATTCTGGAAATTTGTGTATCTAGCTTTGTAAAATCAATTAAAAATAGTAAATCAGTTCCAAAAATTATGAAATTTTGTGAGAAGCTTCTAGACATGTATAATGACATGTTAGAGAAATAATTTATGAAAAATCATTTCCCAGTTGAGAGAAATAAATATTTGAACACAGATATACAGTTTCTGAAAATCTGCCGACATACACGATTTTGTAAAATCAATTGGGCACAGTAAATCAACTCCAAAAATAGTAAAATTTTGAGGAAAGTTTCTAAACATATAGATAAATATATCAAAGAAAGAATTTCTTGAATATCACTTCCCATTTATAAAAAATCATCTGTTTTGTAAAACATGCACGAGCATGTAAGAACGAAAAACATGATTTTGTAAATTCAATTAAACATAACAAATCAATTTTAAACTTGATGAAACTTTGGGAAATGTTTGCAAATGTGATTTTGAACATGTTACAAAAAAGAATTTTTCAATTTGCATTTCCCAATTGTGGAATCTCATTATTTTGCAAAATCACATAAGTATGGACTTGTAAAAGCTTGATCTTGACAAAATGAGTTTAAACAAAGTTTTGAAAACTTTCCAATAGATTTATAGACTTGATAAAATATATAAAATAATATTGTTAAGTCTATAATTCAAAACAACGATAAACCAAACCAAACGTGTGTGTGTGTGATATTGAGCTTGAAGTATTAACACACATAATATAAGCCCTAAACTAATTTACCCAAGCTTGATTGGTCTTCAATATGCTTGACTTGGTAATCTCACGGATGAAGCTTGAACTTGATCTTTAACTTTGAATTGCAAGGCTTCACTCCACTATTCCTCCAACCTCCATTGGATATGATCGTTGAAGCTCTATTCCATCCATCCTCCAACTACATTGTTTGTCTATAATAAATAAGAAAACACAAATACTAGACAAACAACACTAGTGGTAAATTGTTTGTTGAACATCATCAAAACAAGAAGGCCAACACCTCCCTCTTAGACGATCGGGCAACTGATTTGCCCTTAGAAGCCACGGATCTCTTTGGAGACATCATCAAAGATGGGATTTTAGTCGAAATCTTAAGGGTTTTGAGAAACAACTCAAACAAAAGCTCGGATAGATCCCAAATAAAAGCCCTAGACTCGGTTTTGATCAAGAATCAAGGGAAAACACAGTGTGTAGGAAACAAACAAAAGCAAAGAGATCAAGTGCTCGAACTACTTCGAAACCCTAAAGGGATTTTCCTCTTTTCGATCAAGACTGAAGAGATAGGGAAGAAGAAGACTTGGAAACTCTATTTCTAGGGTTTTACAGAGGATTCAAACTTACAAGAGCTGGCAAAGAGGGCCCAAAAGACTGCGAGCTTTGGACTTATAATACTTCAGCCTGATCACGCTTGCTTTGAGCGAGATAGCCAAAGCTATCTCGCACAAATGAGATAGATTCCGCTGTCTTGCCCAAAGGGCCCAGCCAAATTGAAGTGTCTCGCCTGCTGCATCCTCCACTCATTTCCAGCACATTTATCAATACTCTGATGAGTATATGAGTATAAAGTGCTTCTCCGTGAACCTCCGACTGGTACACGAGGTTAAACTGTTCCCTACGTCCAAACACCTCAAAAAGCTAAGGATAGAGGAGAAATCTTAGCATTGATCCTAAGAGAAGCTTCTCGACAACTTACCATGCTAAGAGCAAGAGCATGGCTAGTCCAACTCAAACGGTAGTTGGTAAAGACAAATCAAGTCCGTTGATAGCTGAGGGTTTGCTAAAAATCCTAATTCAATCTCGCCGAGTTCGATAGTCGATTTGTTGAGGAGGCCTCTTTTAATTAGCTAGTTCAAGCAGGGCTTGGACCTGATCGATACATGCCGCACTTACATGCCTGTAGGGCTATTGGAGAAGGTGAGTACACTAGTAGAAAATCTCACATCCTAGACGAAATATTCTAGACGGAGTTTTTTTTCGTCTAGTTTGCGTTAAACTAGACAAAAATTTTTCGTTTAGAATATTCCATCTAGGATACAACATCGTAGACGGGATTTTTCATCTATAGTAGCAAAGTAGACGGTTTTAGTGTTTTAATTTTTTTTAAATAAGGCTACCCTCTTAGATAGAAATTCCGTTTAGGATGCATCCTAGAAAGAATTCCGTCTGAAATACTAGCCCCACTTTTTAAATAATTTTAAAGCACACAAACCCTAAGGGCTTCAGTTTGGGATACTGAGGAGTAACCGGGACGAGGAGGAGGCCGAGGGTTTTGTGACGAAGGAGCTGTTTCCGGCTGCGGCGTCGTCGTCGTCGTCGTCGTCGTCGAGGGCGGCGCATTGGGCGGATCTAGGGTTGCAGCACGTGCAGGCGACGGGGCAGCACGTGATGCCGCAACACCAAGGGAAGAAGAACAAGTGAGGGCTGAGGTCGAGGAGCTCGTAGTATAGAGGGGTTACTTTTTGTAGAAGGATCGGGAGATGGGAGTCTCATATTTGGTCTGTGTTCCTTTTTAAATTTCAATTTTCTTTACATGGGATTGATTATTTTTGGATTATTGTGAAGTTCCTAATGATTAAAGTTGGCGTTTTGCTCAGGGACTGTGACAAGCAGGTCTATTTAGGTGAGGATTTGACGCATTAAGTGAGGATTGAAGCACTTGTGGTTGCTCTGATTCGTTTGATTTAATTTATGTTTGTGTTTTTCAGGAGGATTTGACACTGCTCACGCTACTGCAAGGTTCATTTATTTTTGTTTGATTGGGGCTCGAGATTGATCCTTTTTTGCGTAGCTATATTATATTGGGAAAATTTGCAAAATAGACCGTTTTTATAAAGTAATTAGCGAAATAGACCATTTTTTGAAGTAATTAGCAAAATAGACCGTTTTTTTGGCAAAAGAGGTCGATTTTGAAAAAGGGTTCAGAAAACATACGAGACTACTAGTCCCGTATGTTTAATCTTATGATTAGTCCACTCAGAAAATATACGGGACTACTAGTCCCGTATATTTTCTGTTTCTTAACAAAACGTACGGGACTAGTAGTCCCGTACGTTTTGCAGAGTAGCCAAATCCACTGCCCAGCAAATCCACGGGATTACTAGTCCCGTGGATTTTGCAGAGCAGCTAAAGCCACTGCCCAGCAAATCCACGGGACTACTAGTCCCGTGGATTTGCTGGGCAGGATCAAACATACACCAAACATGCATGGGCCTCATTTATCGATTACAACCAAAATTTTTGCCAAAAAGATATCATTTACAATATCACAACACAAATCTCATCATAGAGTACATCACCACACAAATCTGACGTAATCAACAACATCACAACACAAATCCAACGGAATACACATCACATCCAAAGTCCGACAAAAATACACATCACAAATCCATACGATAATATATACCAGTCTAAGCTAAACAAATCCAAATGTCTCAAGTCGACCCATAAGATAATATGTAGTTTAAGATAAACAAATCCAAGGTCAATAAATCCATACGACAATATATATCTTAGTGGAAAAACTAACAAATAAAAAATCCACCCCTCCCCCGTTGTCTCTCTCTTCGCACTCGTTGAGATCGTCGGCGTCCTCCTTCGACTTGAGCTTGAATATGCTCGCTCTCCGGTTGTGTGTGGGGCTGTGATGGACCGGCTTGCTGTGATGGACCAGCTTGCTGTGACGGACCGGCTTCATCGTCGTGCGTGCAAGGTCTACCGCGCCTACATCGGCGTACATATAGAGTATCGTCAAGATCTACCTGCTCACGACCGTCATGTCGATCCTCATAAGTTTGTTGAAAAGCTTTATGAACTCTCGCCACTATCCGATGCAATATCGATACATGTACTGAATCTCCTGTGGCGGTAGCTATGCCCTCATTTGCAATCCCCTCGACCTCATCCATAGCATCTATCTACAATTACATAAAAATATTTATATTAGAAACCATAAGCTAAGAAGAGATTGACATTCTATGATAATTTTGACAATTTAACTTACCCATCGTCTCTCATCTACCCCTCTTAGTACATATCGGGATTGTTGGGAGCGAATCTCGATTTCGTCGACTGGAGGCGTAGTTTGAGTGATTATCCAACGTCTGGTAATCCCCCAATACCATTTAATGTAATCAACTTCTTCCATCGGAGGATAAAGTGGATCGACAATAAGTTGATGCCGACCATTCCACCGAGCTATGTATGATTGATGCGTGCGCTGCCAGTCAATCTGATGTCCACCTTTAGTCGCCTTTCTCTCTATTTTTTCGACATATTGTGGAGCATGTTGCGCGAGTACAAACTGTCTAAACACGCGATCGAGTACGTGCATCTCCACAATCTTGAAACAAACGAGAGGAACTCTGGCCCTCCATATGCCGTGGCCCTCCATACAAATCAGCGGTAGATGAGGTAGGTGAGGGGTTTATGGCTGCCACTCGAACTGCAAAAAAATCCAAATGTTAATATCTCTTTGAAATATATTGATATCATAGAGTACTTCAATTCAAATTCGATACCTAAAAAATTTATACGGGACTAGTAGTCCCGTATAAATTGCAGAGCAGCTTTAGTGCTTGCCAAATCCACGGGACTAGTAGTCCCGTGGATTTGCTAGGCATAGGCTTAGCTGCCTCTGAAAATCGTACGGGACTACTAGTCCCGTAAGTTTTGATTTGTGCACACAAAATATACGGGACTAGTAATCCCGTATATTTTCTGAGTGCACTTAACGTTAGATTAGTTAGCTTTAAACATACGGGACTAGTAGTCCCGTATGTTTTCTGAACCCCTTTTCAAAATCGACCTCTTTTGCCAAAAAACGGTCTATTTTGCTAATTACTTCAAAAAACGGTCTATTTCGCTAATTACTTTATAAAAACGGTCTATTTTGCAAATTTTCCCTATTATATTTCCTAGAAAGTTGTGAATTTTTTCTTTTTATTTATATGCAGGCATATGATCGTTCTGGAATATAGTTTCAAGGTGTTGATGCTGATATCAACTTCAATCTAAGTGACAATGATGAGGATCTGAAGCAGGTGAGCTTTGTGCTAGGTTGTTTGCTATTTGAACGGGAGGGAACTTACTTGTTGTGTATATTGACTGTGGTTGAATTTGTTTCAGATGAGGAACTTGACCAAGGAGGAATTTGTTCACATACTTCATTGATAGAGCACTGGGTTTTCAAGAGGAAGCTCAAAATACTGAGGGGTTACTCTTCATAAATGTGGTCGATGGGAGACTCGGATGGGCCAATTCCTTGGCAAGAAGTATGAATCATTATCTCCTTTATATTTTTCTTGGGAATTTGTCGAATCAATTCAATATCTTACTTCTTTATCGTAATGTCTGTATTGTGTGTGAATCACTCGAGAGTAAGGGTGAGTTATATAGAGTAGCCTCATGGTAATGGTGAGTGAGGCTAAAAGAGAAGGTTTTGGAAAACCCAAGGTTACCGATGAGAACCTGATGCTTGCATGCAGGTACATATACCTTGGGTTATTCAACAGCGAAATAGAAGCTGCAAGGTCCTACAAGAGATTTGGATTTGTTTAGTTGTTGCAGTAAATTTCTTTAAAGTTAAGTTTTTATCGGTCCCTTCCAATATAAATCCTCTGCTTTTCGTTTCTTGGTTTAAAACATCTAGGCTTATGACAAAGCGGCTATCGAATGTAATGGAAGAGAAGCTGTTACTAATTTTGAGCCTAGTTCTTATGAAGGGGAAATGCTTCCTGAGCCCGATAGTGAAGGTATTGTTTCTTGATAGAGTTTTTTCCTTTCAATTGTGAGGGGCTTATGACAAAGTTGCTTTGGAAGCAATTTGTAGCTTTCATGATGCTCGAACAACAGAATTGGTGACTGCTGCTTATCCTGCATTGGATGAGCTCACTTCGAAGGTATTTTACTTATTATGTTCATTGCCCCCTTTTGATTTTATGAAAGTTAATACATTCGCTATGAAACATACAGAATTTTACATTATGTAAGGCATCCAGTTACATTACTTTGTGCTTTCTCTGATTTATTATTTTACCTAGAAATGTTGATCAGTGAGTTGATTACGTTTTTTCAGTATTGCCTGGTTCATTTATTTCACTGATTCCCATGTATGTATTTGCTAATTTCACTGTCTAGCCTTATGCTTTGAGCTGTATAGTGCTCTTTTTGGAGAATCAAATATCATTAAATTCATCATTTCATTGTGTATCATATGTATAAGACAATGAGAAAATAATGTGAGGTATCTCTTAAAATAACTTTAGTATTCTAATGTATAAATACTATTGATTATACTAATGCAAAATTTGTATGGAACCTGAAAATAAGAAAAATGTTGAAGAATTAACAAAAAGGTGAAATGGACTCTAGAGTCACATGCTTATACTAATGCAACACTGGTTTATACCACAATTGCAGGATATAAATAATCTTATCAAAGAATAACACCAAGTTTTGAATCTTTACCTTTTTCTAGTTCTTATTAATTAACCTTGCTAATTTTATTAAATTTTCTCTTGTAGAACTTGATGCGATCACAAATATTTATCATTGCTACAGGAGCGAACGACAATGTACATTTTGTGATCTAAAGGAATTCACATTGTTGTCATTTCAATTTCAGGGCTAGGTACCATTTGATGACAATAGATAGAAGTGAAGGAATTATGAAGATACTGTAAGTGCTAGATACAAGTTATGTTTATTTCTTTGTTTTAATATATGTATTAATAGTTTACATATGTAATACTGGAAAGTTCATCAAGTTCTAGTTATTTCTTTGTTTTTAAAATATATGAACTGTTTACATATTTATTTTATAGGCGAAGAACCAGTACAGATTGAGCGGACAAGAAGTAAAATTCAAGCAGCTAAACATCCATGTTTGGGAAGCCTTGAGAAGGGGTAAGATATCACAAGCAGCGGAGTAGAGGATAGAAAAATATAAAAAGATTATAAATATACCTCCTTTACTTCCCATTTTAAATAAATATATAAAGAGAAAATTAGTTATTATCAATATAAACAATATATGTATCGCTCTAGTATTTTGGTGAATGTATTATTTGAATATAATGGATTTGATATTGGAATATAATTAGATTGTGTTGGATATGAATATGATTTGGTGTTGTGCAATATCGTCCACAAGGATATGTGATATTATATGCCGTGCAAAGTAGATTCTTTAAAAAAACTATTGTTTCATAGACAGAAATTCCGTCTAAGATGCTCATCCTAGACGAAAATTCTGTCTAGGACATATAGATGTATCGTAGATGGAAATTCCGTCTTGGATGAGTATCATAGATGGAATTTCGTCTAGGATTATCCTAGACGGTTGTCTTTTCTGTCTAGAATTATTCTAGACGTATTTTGTTCCGTCTAGGATGTATTTTCATCTACGATAGTTTTCTAGATGGAATTCCGTCTAGAATGACGCATTCTCGATGCAAACTTACTAGACCAACATCCGAGACTGAATTGTTAGACCCTGGGGGGGGTGATTAGGGTCTTATGCTAATCTATCCGATTTTATGTCAAATAAAACTTATTAGTAAGATATTCTTGCAAGATAGATATACAATATGTTATGAACAAGAATATGCAATAAGAACAAAGAGATATATCCTATATGGTGAAATATATGCAAGGATATATAAACACAAGTGTAAATAAATGTGACACAATAAAGAGATGAAAGCGATATATGATGTGAGCACAAATAAAGATGAATCGCCAAGCAAACACAAACACACAATATATTCACGATGTTCGGCCCCCATGATCTACGTCTCCGCTCCTCACCTCGAGGAGATTTTCACTATCACAACCCGGTTTTGAAGCCAGAATTTTTACACACTCCATTTTCAAGCTCACAGAAAACTCTCACAATCAATCACTATGCAATCATACTATACACACTAAGTGTTGGTCTCTAGCCCGTGTCCTCCTCCTCAAGTGCTCGGATACAACCTCTCCCTAGGTTCGCCAACTGACGCCACTCCTATTGGATTCGACCTTGTCTCTTACCACACACTACTCTCGGTGTATAACTGTATTACAAATGATACTCACAATATAAGTTCAAATACAATGTTTTGTTCTCTATAATGAATGAGAACACAATAAAGCTCACTCTCACTAATTCACACACCAATACCCACTAATATATTGTATGAAATAATCTAAGCTCAATAAGGGTGTGTGTGATGAATGAGAACAATAAAATTCTAATTCAATTTAATATAGCAAGATATGAATATGAAATTGACAATCAATAAGCTATATAAAAGAGCTTAGAAAAACTTCTCTATAAACACAAAGAACTGAAGAAATGATGATGAAGATGAATTCCTCAATTGAAATTGAAAGCTTCTTCTTTGTGTAAAACTTCTCTTTTGAAACAAAGCTTAAAACAAGGCTTTAAACACCTCTTAAACACTTGTAAACTTAATTAAACAAATCTCTTCATTGGACAGAATGTTTAATGCACTGGGGTATTTATAACATCCCAAAACATCAGCAAGAACCCAAGTAAAAAGACCAAAAAGCCAGAAGAAGACAAAAACTAAAAGTAGCCGTTACAGTGTTATGAGTCGACTCAGTACTATTCATGAGTCGACTCATAAGTAGCCGTTACAGGCTAAAAATCAACTTATGGGTCGACTCATAAAAATCATGAGTCGACTCATAAACCATGGGTCGACTCATAAGATCACGAGTCGACTTAGCAGAACAAAAACTCATTTTCTAGGACAGTTTGTGAGTCGACTTATGACAGGTATGAGTCGACTCAACCTGATGGGTCGACTCATGATGTTTGTGAGTCGACTCATCAGAAACAAATTGTAAACTACGCGCAGTTTGTGAGTCGACTCAATACTGTTTATGAGTCAACTCATAAACATGTACATAGAAAATTTTAACTTTGAACCTTGTTAAAAAATATCAAATAAACACTAAAAAATATAAAACTTTGGGAATAGTTTATAACCATGATATTAAACATATTTGTGAAGAAATTTTGGAAATTACATTTGCCATTTGTAAAAGATCATCGTTTTAGTACATGTGCACATATATGTGTAAATATGTAAACATATACATTTGATTTTGATAAAGATGTGTATTGCAAAACTTTTGTAAAACGTTTTTATAAACAGTATACAATGTAAACATGACGTTAAACCAAAGCCACATTGTTTTCACGAAACGAAACAACTGTGTGTGTATAAGTATATATTGAGCTTTAGAAAATAACATACGATATATACAATAATACCTAAATGATTGTAAACATGGCTGATCTGAATCTTTAACTCTGATATAAAACTGTAATAAGCCACAATCACTAGAATACAAAATTAGTTATAAATTGTGTGTAAAATCATCAAAACAAGACAAGAGTGTAGGTTCAAACTAGAACCCTAACAGGAATTCCGTCTAGGATAATCAATTTAGACGGAAATCTGGCTATTCTAGACAAAAGATTTTGTCTAGGATGCTACGTTTTTTACTAGTGGTAAGTTAGTTTATTTTGGAGTGTGAAATCTTCTACGCATTTGAGTGAAAAGTGGAGATTTGTTATATGTTCCCTCAAATACTCAAATCCATATTGCTTCGGAGTTTCTTTTTTAGATTGGTTTGTTTTGATCAAGAGTCCTACTTACATTAGACTTTGCATAACCAATCATATTAGAGGTTTATTTCTATTTGGACTATTGTTGGGTTTTAGGACATGTGGACTTCTATTCCTATTAGAACTCTTATTCTTTAGACAGTAAGGAGTTGGGATCTTCAAGGCTATATAAGCACAGTCTTGCAAGCCAATAATTTTCATCAATCTTCAGAGCACCAATCAAGAAGAGAGTTTTTTTTTTGAAGCCTATTTGATATTCTTCTCTTTTGCTCCTTTAGTTGAGAGTTGTATTAGGCTTTCGGGGTGTGATTTGGGATTGAGAGATTGAGAGATCCACTTTCAAGGTTTTAAATATCGGATATCGGAGAAATATCGAATGGTCAAAATTCATATCGGATTGCGGATATCGGGGAAATATCGGGGATATGTGGTAAATATCAGAATGCCATAATGAATGTTTGCATACATAGTATAATTATTAAAATGTAATCTCAACATATGTAATGAAATTTAAGCATATAAAATATAAATAATATATGTTTAGGATCACTAATCAACCTTCTAAAACAAACAAAAGTGCAAAGCAATGTTGCAACATTCGATCTATTTTTTTAGGGCAAAATGTCATTTGATATAATGGGGAAATCTTGATATCTCGCCCAAAAATTCAAAACACGGTATATTATTTCGCAACAAGCTATATAAAAAGATATATTGGTCCATATATCGGCTAATATATCGGTCATATCTGTGATTTATCACTCAAAATAGCCAAAAAGCGGTAAAGGATATTTAAAGACCATATCGGTTGCAGCAAGCCCTGCAAAAGGATATATCGGAGGATATATCGGGCCATGTCGGGGATATTTAAAACAATGTCCACTTTGTACTCCTCACAATTAGTAAAGCTTTTTTCCTTCGTCGCCCGTGGACGTAGGCTACAAGTCGAACCATGTATATCTTTGTGTTCATTTGTTTTCGATATTTTTCGTGCTCGTGTGATTGATATTAGCTTATCCTGGGGAATTGTCATAACATTGTGAAACACGTCAGCTGTGTCATTTTCCTTCGGACCCTCAGGATAGGAAGTAGCTATGTTGTTGTCAAACGAGAAAAAGAAAGGCTCGTTGGAGTAGCGGAGCTGGAAGATGTCGTACCAGAGGTGGCTTGGTTGGCGGAAGGGCATATTTGTAGTACGTTGTCAGTGGAGGGGCTGATGTCACCTCGGCAGAGGAAGAGGCCATAGGCACGGCCCGGAATTTATCCTTCTGTGAGATTTGCAAAGATGTAGTAGATGGAGGTGTTGTAGAGGTGAGAAAGAAGTTGGTTAAGCTTGGTTTGGAAGCTGCTATTCTCAGTGTAATTACTGTTTTCACAGAAGTAGTAGGCAAGGTTGGCAGCACTACCTGGAGAGAGGAGAAGAGGGAACAGAAGGTAGAGGAGACCCATGTTTGGAGGAGATGCCTTTCAAGTGTTTCTTATGTTAAATGAATTTCTGTTCTATTTTCTATACCACGTTCTAATTCCCAATCCTACATTCTACTACTGTATTTGGAATCAAAATCCCATATACAACCTACCTACGATAACTTTTACAATCTTCTGTATTTGGAGTCAAAAGCCTATTATCTCCTACGTCCTACAGTATTTGGAGTCAAAATCCTATTCTTGTATCCAGCTGCAGCGACATTCATTGGTCAAGTTTCTTGAAGGGTATTAAACTAGATCAGATCCTTAATAACCTCAACAGTCACAATAGTGTGCCAGACAAAATATTTGGTGTGGTCACTACGAAACGTCGATTGTCACATCAGTTTCTGTGTCTTAGAAGGGTGTTGGTTTTCCACGTTGAATTATCTTCTTGCTACTTCTCTTCTTTCAGTTAGAGCATGACTTCTCCTCCACAGACGTTGCTAGTTTCTAATGTCCTTATCAATGTGGTCATGTCACTGGAAGGACTTGGTGAATACACAATTTATCACCTCTGTGAATCAAGGATAAATTATAAAATACACAAGTAATGTTGCTCTTGTTGTCTTTATAGTTTCTCACCTTTATGTATATCTCCTACAAGTGTAGATGTATCATATATGGTACTTATCATATTCATATTTTACAGGTATTTATACGAATACGGATATGTCACGGTAAGAAAAACTCATGTCTATATCCACCAAAGTCAGAAATGGACATGGACCAAATAAGAGAAAATATATATATGAATACAACACAGCTATGAGAAAACTAATATGCTACAAGAGAGTCCATTAATATGTTTGTTATATCTAAAAAGCTAAGGTTGGATCCCTAGGTCATTAAAATTAACCATAAGTCCATTGATCTAATGGTCAAAACAATTGCAATTG